TCCAGGGCGTGCTGGAACGAGCCGTGGGCCCAAGTTCCATTGGCGACTGAGGGAGCGCCTTTTTTTTTTTCGTGGGCAGCCTGGGATTTGAATTCCGGACTTTGAGACAGATGCACATTCTTGGAGCGCGCAGCCCGCCCCCCTCCCCGGCATGGAGTCAAAAAAAGGGTCCCAAGGATGGGCGGTTTCGTGGAACCTTGGCTTAAGCTGCTGAAACTGGACGATCAGTTGTGCATCATCCGAATCATTGCCTGCTTGCCATGGTATGACCACCTGGCTGCTTGGGGGTCCTCTGTACGATCATGCGCTGGTTTCAGACATCTGTCATACCCGTTTCTTGTACCGAAGCAAAGGACCTACACACTCTTGCCAATGGCATGAAGTAACACCTCCAGATTGGGAACGCCACTCTTGAGTTCAATCCGCGATTGGCCAGTTGAACGTGGGACGCATTCGTGCCAGCGTCCTTCCTTGAGCTTCGAAGGTGCTGAAATGCCGCGTTTTGTGTGTGTTTTTTGCGGAGCTAAATTTCCTTTATAGCCGCTTCAAGGATTATCCAAATGAATGCTGCGAGGTAATTATTGTTCTTTGCCATGTTCAAAGTTCTTCGCCTGTTTTGAGACCGCGTGGTTGTTGCTCGCTCTGGTTCCTTTTTGGGGGACAAATGCGAATATCTGATGGCCGCTTGCCTCAGGAATGGAACTTGGATGCGCTGATCCGCTACATCAAGGCTGGCGGGAATCAGGTAGGGACATCAGGATGGTTCTGCCAATTTCTTGATAAGCGAGCGAAACCCCATGATGCATATAGCTGCTTTACTTGGGATCCGATTCTTGTTTCAGGTTTTGGCATTGAAATGTGCAGAGGGTTTCATGTGTGTCCCGAAGTACACTTCTGGGTGCGACTTCCCGGATTCCAGGCATGGTTCCAACAGCACGGAGAGCTGGGCGCGAGCTATTGACCACTCCATTCCCACTGAAGGTTTTGGTTGATCAGCGCCTAAACCAATCATTTCCCCCATGAAAACCGTGGCTTCTTTTTTGCTGCTGTTTCCCAGGCTGTCTTCTGCTATAGAATTCCCCTTGTCCCGACATTAACCAAAAAAACACTTGCTTGCTCGATTGGATTCCGACAATGGAGCCTGGCAAGTTGCACTCGGTACAAAGGCTGCTGGCTTTCGCAACTGCTTCTTTGGCTGACCCAATGTAGAAAGCCACAATTTCTTTCATGGTTTCGAGTCTCGAGGATGCACCCGGGGCGTCACGATCCCCTGCCATATCCTTGCAGGTGTTTAACGGGGTTTGTTTGTGGGCTTCAAATGTGTTCCGTATGAAGCTCATGGGCCGATGGGACGAAAGCATTGAAGAATCACAGAGCGTCTCATGCTGCATCCTGGAAGCCGCTGAATCAAGTATGGCTGCTTTCCATGTCATAAACAAAGAGTTCCGCAGCATTTGTTTGATAGACCAGCATGTGCTTCCTTCTCAAGAACAACACGCCCGTTTGATAAAGGGCAACAGCTTTTTCGCTTTTCATACGGTTTCTTTCGCTGATTCGACTTCAGCACCTTCATTCCTTGCCCTCCACTTCTCATTTCGTCTGCGGTTGCCCGGCTCAGGTGGTGGGGGGTGCTCCCAAGCGAGAGGGACTGCTGGTGGGTCTGAAGAATGGCCATGTGATGCCCGGAAGCTCAGTGAGACATGTCGAAACCTATGAGCTTTTCGTGTGGCATGTCTGAGGGTTTGTTCAACGAAGGACACGTCTTGGCTATGTCGAAATTAACATGTATAGAAGCTGATGTGGAGGATACCCGCTTGAATCATGTGATTTGGGGATGTATCTTTTGGTGAAGTCTGTAAATGCTCATTTGTGTGGTTGGAAAAACTCAATCTTGGTTGGCCAGCACCTTTTTCATGGTTGGACTTCGACGGAGGTCGCCAGGAAGATTTAACTCGCGGCAAAGCCAAATCGACGAAGCCCATCTTCTGAACGTTGAGTCTCAGTCTCAGGTTACAACAGACACCCTTGCGCCGGAAATCCAATCATCCGAAAATACAACATCCAATCATCCGGACATCATCCAATCAATCAACAGCCAGTCACCCTCCTCCAGTCGTTGGGAGCCAATTCCGCAAAAAATGATCCCTCGGACCTCACTTTGGCGCCGTCTGGCGCCAACGGAGCTGGAGATGCCCGGAAGATTCCCAAAAGGGAGTTCACTCGAAGGACTCCAAAAGAAAAAGCTCAACAGCATGGGGAAAAAGAAACATCTTAACATGGGGACGGGCTTGAGATCTGGGCCTTGATCAGTTTCCCCTCCTGAGACGAGAGTCATAGTTGAAAAGATTTTAAAACAAAAAGAGACAGGGAGAGGGACAGAGGTATATTTGTATATATATATATATATGTAGACTGACACCAACTCTTTCTTTTTCCCCGCATGACATCAATGACCTTCAGGAAGATCTTCGTGGACAATGCCTTCCCTGTGACCCTCATCAAGCAGGTCCCGAAGAGCTACCGCCCGTGGTTGTGGCTGGTAGGCATGTGTTTGGTCATGTTTTTGTTTGTGTGGGTTGGGGTTGTTTGCTTGCAACCAGCATAACCTTGAATCCTGTTGTCCTCATGCTGCGGGGTTTCGTGTTTGCTTGTGCACGTGGTTTGCTTCATCGATTATGTGTTGGTGTGTGTGTGTGTGTGCATGTTGGTGTGTATGTGCTAGTTGTGCTGCATGTTCGTTGTTTGTTTGTTTATGTGTTTGTGTGTGTGTGTGTCTGTCTGCCTGCCTGCCCGTCTGTCTGTCTGCCTGCCTGCCTGGCTGGCTTCCTACCTGGCTGTTTGTTTGTTTGCCCGTCTGTCCGTCCCTCCGTTTGTTTGTGTGTTTGTGCGTTTGCGTGTGTGCGTTTGCGAGTGTGTGTGTGTGTGTGCGTGTGTGTGTGTGTGTGTGTGTGTGTGTGTGTGTGTGTGTGTGTGTGTGTGTGTGTGTGTGTGTTTGTTTTTGTTTTTGTTTGTGTTTGTGTTTGTGTTTGTGTGTGTGTGTGTGTTTGTGCGTGTGTTTGTTCGTTTGCGTGCGTGTCTGTGCGTGTCTGTGTGTGTGTGTCTGTGTGTGTCTGTGTGTGTGTGTGTCTGTGTGTCTGTGTGTCTGTGTGTCTGTGTGTATTTGTTTATCTGCCTGCCTGCCTGTTTGGCTGTCTGTTTGCTTGTACGTATGTTTGTCTGCTTGTGTCTTTGGTTCTTTGTTTCTTTGCTTGGTTTGTTTGGTCGTTCGTGGTTCGTTTGTTTGCAGCTGCTTGGGTTCTTTTGCAAGACGTCCGCATTCAGACAACGTTCTTGGCATATGTATCCAAGCATGACCACTAGCTACGTCTTTCGGCATGAGACAATGCCAAAAGTCATGATCTGGTCATTTTTCGGGTTATCTACAATATTTTCCGAGGGAGCCAAGCAGGCAACATGCAGGCAGTCCGTTGCTTTAATTGTGAACAATCTGGGCGAAGGAGAGTAGAGGTGTCTGGAAACACGAGCCAGAGTCTTTAGGCTGAGATCCCTGAGGCTTCCCAAGGTCTCAGAGTTTGGTTTTCTGTGTTCAGTTCTCACTGCGACAAAGAGCACTTGGGTCACTTGGGTCCACTGAGTCACGAGCTGGGGCAGCGGTCAGGCGACAGCGGTGAGGTGTCTGGACCTTTCGTGCAGGCGGGCGTGCAAATCGGAGTGGGGCGGGGGATGGGGGGGGTTTTGGGGGTCATGTGGGCCAGCGTTGTCCGACGCGTACGTACGTTATGGCTCAACAGTTGTGGATGGTCATGGCAGGGGTAGCTTTGCTTCGCGAGGCCCTGCTTCAAGATTTGGCTTGACAAGTCCAGTCGTTTCTGGATAGGCATCCTCAAAGGATGCAATCGACAATGCAGACTTGAAGAAGGCAAGAAGTCCACCTTGGTAGCAGCTTCCCTCAGATCACAGATCTATGAAGGTTCCAATGCTTGTGACTGCACCCGCGCAGTGCGTTGGAAGTGGCTTGGGCTTTAGGAGGCAATGCATGAGAATGAGAGTTTGAAAGAGTGGACTGCCGTGTTCCAGCCCGGCAGGCGCAAGAAGCTAGCGGTGGTTGATGAGACCTCCAACTTGCTCGTGTGCTCCGCGACTTCAGCCATGCAGCTCTTGTGATTCTTGGATTTGTCGCGGTGAGTTACCAGCCATTCTTGTCTCTCGCCCACTGAGTGTTCACAAGTCACAGAGACTCTTCTGAGTGGACGTTTGTTGCAGCATTGCACCAACCATTTCAGTGCCTACCACCAAGCCGCCAAACACAAGCAGCATCCGGGACAAATGAGAGCAAACTCCAAGCGTTTGCAGCTCAAACACGCTGCAGGACTCCCTACGCATGTTTGTTTCGATTGATCAGTGTCAATGCCAAACGAGGAGGCGTATGTTCCCACTGTCGGGACAGGACATACCCAGAAATGTATCTCTCCGGCGAAGCAGCTTTCTTGTGACAGGGTAATTGGAGCAACCCTGTCATGTGTCCGTTGCCAGGTACGACTTGGATACCCAGCAACTCCTCTATCAGGACTCAGCAGCACAGAATGGAGTCGGCAACTGCGCAGTAAAGCGTGCTTGACCCTAGACAGGAGGAATGTGTTAAACCCATGTCTGCCAGCTCAAACTCGGAAGTGGCCACGGCACCTTGAGTTTGAGGAGTTCCCCGCTAGCATGTTTTCTGGTCAGGCGGGGTGATTGCTCAGTTCGACCGGACAGGAGCCAAATGCCAACAGCGTGGCTTGGAATACGGAGATGGAGGACTGATTCGCTCTCGCGGAAGGTGTGTCGATGATTCTTTGGTTTGGGAACGCAGTTTCGATCGAGTTGTTGCACACAATGTCAACGCCTGACAATCCTTCTGAGGCCAATCTTGTGGGCAGTCGAAGCAGATTGGCCACTGAGCCACTGAGCTGCTCAAGTCTTTGGCCACCTTGGCTCCATGAATCACCTTGGGCTAGGACATGCTGGCGTACAGCGGCAGCAACATGTTGTGCATCAAGACGGGGAACTTCCCGCCGCACATGCAGAAGTTGCAAGGCGCTAGCTCATTGGGAATGAGAGCCCGTGCAAGACATAGTGGGCATCGTGATCCACTGGACTCGGATCAGCCATTCTGAGCCCCAGTAGCAGGTAATTTTCAAGCATCTTTGGATGGCTTTCAATCGCCACATTGTGATTTGGTATGTCCGCGTGCATGTTCTCTGGAGAGGTTCCATCAGCTTCAATTTGACTTTTGTCTTGCTTGTGTCGTTGTTGTTGCGGTTGTGGTTGTGGCTGTGGCTGTGGTTGTTGTTGCTGTTGCTGTTGTTTGTTGTCTGTTGTATGTGGTTTGATTGTTTGTGTGTGTGGGTGTCTGTGTGCGTGTTTGTTTTTGTGTTTATTTGGTTGCTTAGTTGCTTGCTTGCTTGCTTGCTTGCTTGCTTGCTTGCTTGCTTGCTTGCTTTGTTTGCTTGCTTGCTTGCTTGCTTGCTTGCTTGATTGTTTGCTTGATTGCTTGCGTGTTGTTATTGTTGATCATGTTGTTGATGCTGTTGATGTTGTTGATTGTGTTGATGCTGTTATCGAAGTTGTTGTTGTTGCTGATGCTGTTGTTTGTTGTTTGTTGTTTATTGTGTCTTGTTGCAGTGGTGTTTGTGTTTGATTGTTTGTGTGTTTGCTTGTGTTTTTGCTTGTGTTTTGCTTGTGTGTTTGTGTGTCTTGGTTTGTTTGTTTGTTTGTTTGTCTGTTTGTTTGTTTGTTTGTTTGTTTGCTTGCTTGTGTTTGCTTGTGTGTTTTACTTGCTTGCTTGCTTGCTTGCTTGCTTGCTTGCTTGCTTGCTTGCTTGCTTGCTTGCTTGCTTGCTTGCTTGGTTGGTTGGTTGGTTGGTTGGTTGGTTGGTTGGTTGGTTGGTTGGTTGGTTGGTTGGTTGGTTGGTTGGTTGGTTGGTTGGTTGTTGTTGATGGTGGTAGTGGTGGTATTGGTATTGGTGTTGGTGTTGCGCTGGGTGTTGGTGTTGGTGGTGTTTGTCGTGTGTTTGATCATTTGTTTGCCGGCTGGCTGTTTGTCCGGCTGTCTTGCTGTGTGGCTGATTGCCTCTCTGTCTGCCTTGAAAGAGACTGGGTGTGCCTTAATGAAACTAAAGGTTACGCAAACATGTGTGGCTTTCTTTCTGTCTTCCTAGACAACCCCAACCAGGGATATTAATCCAAACAAGCGCCAATACGACGAGTCTACCCTATTTGCCTATTTGTTTGGTTTTTGTTTTTGGGGGCATGTAGTTTTATCGCAACATGTTTCAACGCCACGGCCAATGCGCCGTTTGGCTCAAGTTTTCCCTCTGGCAAACCCACACTTGCCATACTCGTCACGGCGCCTTTCAACGGCGCGGCGCCCATCATCGCGCAAAAGGTGCGCGTTGCCGGGAGGCCGCGGTTGGGGGCTTGGTCGTGGAGGTGGGTCAGGACACGGGTTTGGGAGGGTGCTGCATTTGGTTTGCTTTGCTTGCTCGCTGCGCTGCATTGTTTGCCTGCCTGGTTTGCTGCTTTGTGCTTGCTTTCGGTTGTCTCTGCCCTTGCTGGGTTCATTCATCTTTTGGTTAAAGGCACCCTGTTTTGGTTCGTTTGTTGTGCCAGCCGGGGGCACCGCTTTGCCCTTGGGACTGGGGGACTTAAACAATCTCTTCTTGTTGGTGGGATTGGGCCTGTTTATTCTCTCCCGAAACTCTGTTTCAAACCCTTTCGCAGGTTATCAGCCGTAGGATTCGTCCTCGGTTGGCACCGCGAACCCCATTTAATAACAACCCTGCAGGCGCCGTTTTCCATAGGCTACTGTAGGACTCATGGCGGGAATCACGAGGATGGACCTCATGTGGTGACCGATGAGTGGGTTCTCGGCCAGGCCGGAATCTTGGACGTTGTGAATGACGACCAAGTGCCCGGACAGCCGATGTTTTCCGGTCCTGACTTTTTGTCGGACCACACTTTTTCAGAAGCAATGCCTTCAGGAAGGTCCAGTGCTACTCGCACTGATGACCTATCGTCTAATGCCTCAAGAGCTAATCGCTCTCAGGGTCATGGGGCTAATCGTCCTGACCATGATGATTCCGTCTCAGGACGTGATGATGACGAGCCCGGTATTGCACCTGGAGCTCAATCCTCATCTTTCCCGGAGCTGATGAATATTGGTCAGTCCGAGTTTCGTGACTCTCGAAGTAGCAGTAGACCTGTGCCAACCAGCAGTGTAGTTTTTCAGGCGCTCGGTAGTCCCGAACCTGGTACATCCAGTGGAGTTGCATGTGACGTTCATCTGCCGACCGAATCCGGTGGGCTCGATTGGAGAGCCTCATGGCCCAACGACGGAAACATTTTTGGTATGGATTTTGCCGCATGGATGCCAGGGCTACCCGCCCCGTCATCTTTCCCGCAATTCCAAAGCCCAAAACGGGCTGCTGGAAGCGATGAATTCATGCTACCTTTGTCGATTGAAAATCTCAATCCTGACGTGGCCAGCCGTAACGTCAGGCCAAGACCGTCGGTAAACCCGACCATGAGGAACATGTCCCCTCCCCCAGGACTTTCAGGATTTGAGAGCCCTAGGGAGCGTAATATCGTAGATAGATTGGATTTGCATCCCAGTCCAACCCCAAGCAAACGATCAAGGTCAAATTCGACTGGATCGCATAGGGCAAGGGGGATGGATCGGGAAACTGCCCATAGGGGTAACCCCAATACGCGGGACTCAGGACGCGGTCGATCAGGTGACCCAGCGTCGATCATTGGTAGAGATCTGTTAAACGCGGACACGTTGATTAACGTGCTTGATGGGATCGAAGCATTCCAGGAGGAATTCAATAGGTCGAGTGGCCCGAATGTACAGCCTGTTCGCCCTACGCCCAATGCGGCTTCCTTTCTCGCCATTGACAACACAGACGGAGCTGATGTTCCGATTGAGTCTGAATCCATGATGGCATCAAGTTCCAATCACAACAACACCGTCAGCAGCGCTACCGATGTTGAATCAATGTCTGAGTCTAGAGCGTCCAATGCGACTGATTTGCATGACGTTGTCATTGCTGATATGAAGCCTGAAGTTCCTATGCGGACTGATAGGCCGGTAGTTCCCAAATTGTTTGTGACAAAGGGTCTAGGCATGCCACAGCCATCAGCTGTTCGTGATGCCAGAAGATCTGCACCGTATCAGAGTCAGTCTCCGAATCGGAGCGAATTCCCACGGCCATCAACGGCGGTACAAGATGATTTCAGGACACCTCCGAGATCTAATCCGATCATGGTTGATTTGTCCACTCCTCGAGATCGCGGATCAGGATTTGGTCCTGCGAGTGAGGAGCAACCCAACGAGGTTGCTGATCTTGTAACAGCCCTTGAAAGAGGGAGAGTGGACTCTTCGGTAAGTGCGATCATTCATCGCCTGGTTGCTAAGGTCGAAGACCTTGGGCGTAGGAATGATAGAAGTGATCAATGCATCAAGCAGCTCTCCACTGAGGTTAACTCGTGGAGGGCCAAATACGACCAATGCGTCCATGTGAGTAGCACGTGTACGCAGGCTGCGAACGCGGCCATGCAGCTGTCACAAGGGACTAAGGACATCGTGACCGAGCTTGGCCAACGCGTCAAGATCGTTTCCAATCGCATGATAAGCATAGGCGATGCCCTAAATGAGCGAGCTAGCTATGATGATGTTGCTCGCTCCATCACCCAAGTTCAAACTGTTTTTGAATCTCTTTCTGATCGAGTAACCGGGCTTATAGCTCGTGTTGATATGATCGAGAGATCTCTAGTGGAGAGCCAATCCAACCATCCTGCGATTGGTGGAGTAAACCTCAAAATCGAGGACCTGTCCACTAGGGTATGTCAGATTGATAGGATGATGCAAGATGTCGAACAACGCTGGACCAATAGTAGGGACGGCATAAAGTGGGTTAAAGACCAACTTTATGAGACACAAGCCAACCTTGAGATAAAGTCAAGGGACTGCAAATCCTACACGGACAAGCAAAATACTCATAACATGGCTGTTTCGACTACGCTCAACAGTAAGCTCGAGCAAATGCTCGAGGTGCTGGGTAATACGGCCCAGAGAATTAACTCCCTCGAGTCAAGGCACTCGAACCAGGCCTCAAGTAGTGGATTGAACGATCGCACAGGAGGAAGGCGTGCCGCGTCCCGTACTCCGGATAGGCGGCCACCTCCACCTGGCCCTCCTGATGATGATCCTCCCCCACCTCCTCCTCCAGATCGGCAAAGCCCAGGAGGAGGGGGGAAGAAGAGTGCTGCCGGTGGAAACCCTGGCGACCCTGGTAAACCCAGGTGTAAATACGTAGGTGATGGAAATAATCACCTCATGGCTGAGTTTCACTGCAAAGGATGCAGAGGTGATATTTGTGAGTATTGTTTCTCGTTCAAAGAGAACTTGTGTGAGGAATGTTCCCGTAACGGACCCCGATGCGGTGTCTGTAGGGAGAGCTCGTTCCTGACCAAGGGAATTGAGTGTCAGTTTTGTAGGACCTACTACTGCACCAGACATTCTGCTGGGCAGGATGACTACAGGAGATTTGGATTTGTCCAGGGTCCCTTGTTGTCTTGCGTGCCTTAGGGACGAAACTAGGAGAAGAAGGGATCCCGATGGTAACCGTATCAGGAATAGATCTCCTGGAGGCGCACCTGAGACGAACCCGACGCGGTCGTACTCGCCGCCTCTGCGGCCACCCGTTGACAGATTCCGTGACACTCCCACTGGGGGTCAACCCAACGCGGTTGACCTTCAGAGCCCTCCGAAGGCTACGCAACCTGTGCCCCTGGATAAACGTGAAACCGGATATTATCCAGGATTTGATCCCAACGGTACAAGGCCGAGGGATCCTTCAGGCCTTGAGCCGCCGACCATGCGTGGCCCCGATCCTCCTGACAAGAACTGTCGGATGTGTGATCGGGATATTCCTGACCCCAGCAAAATTGGGGAATGTAAGATATGCATGAAAAGGGCATGTGAGATTTGCATTCCAAAGGCTACTCGCCTTTGCCCTGTATGTGCACTGTCAA